CACACACACAAAGCAAAAGCTGTGGGGGGGGAGGGGGTTTCTAGTTGCAGCCTGTCCCAGGGCAGGGCCCCCTCTTGGTACAGACAGGAAAATCAGGGGTGGGGGACACAGCTTGTCCAAGGTCATTTGGCCAGCAAACTGTGGAGCTGACTTCAGTGTGCAGACCCTGGCCTGAATTCTCTCTCACACAGCCCATGTTCCTCCTGCCTATTCATGGCATCCTCTGCCTCTTTCACTGAGGGTCCCCCTTGCTGGGGCCAGCTGCAGAGCCTACCTCCTCCTATACTGTGGAGACCACTGTGTCTCCCATTTGGGCTCCCCTTTCACCATCTTCTGAAGTGTTTCCCATACCCCCAATTCAGGGTAGCCTTGCCCCCCTTCCCAACTCCAAGTCCCCCTCCCCTATTCCGCAGCCGGCTGCAGTTTCTTGAGGCCTCTCCTGGTGGGTCCCAAGCTATTAGGGAAAAAGTGTACCTCCATTCAGGAGTCTTCTATCTCTCTACCTTCTGTAGCACCCATCATGAGTCCATTTAGGATTACTTTGCTCCCTCCCTTATTCTGGGCCATCTCCAATCTCCAGACACGCTACACCCCCTATCTGAAGGTCCTCTCTAGCTTTCAGGAAAATTTTGTGCCGCCCCATTCAGGGGTCCCCTCATCCTACTGACTACAGAGTCATCCATCACTCCATCCCAAAGGCGACCTGCCCCTATTCCCACCAGGACTCCTTGTCATCTCCCCATTTCGGGCCCCTTTTCTGTTTCCGAACACAGTAGCAGGGTCTTCGGACTCGCACCCAGGGGTCCCCGCCATTCCACTCCAGGAGTCCTCTACCCCCTAACTCGATCTCAGGGTGGTCCTCTGACGTCGCGTTGATTCCCCTTCAATCCAGAGTCCCCCTGCCCCGCCCCTCTCACTGCGGCGGAGCTGCCGGACCCGGGCCGCGGGGGAGGAGGGAGAGAGGGCGGGGCCCTCCTCCCCCGCCCCCCCCAACTGCCTAGGGGCTGGACCCGACCGGGCTGCTATAAAAAGGCCGGCATCCCAGTGCTGCCGCAGTGCCGCCCGCCCCGTCTCGGCCTCGGGCTTCCCCCTCCACCGGCGGCCGCACCTGCTCCGGCCATGATGAGCTTCAGCGGCGCGGACGCGCTGCTGGGCGCCCCGTTCGCGCCGCTACATGGAGGCGGCAGCCTGCACTACGCGCTGGCCCGCAAGGGCGGAGCGCGTTCTGCTGCCGGCTCATCCAGCGGCTTCCACTCCTGGGCGCGGACATCCGTGAGCTCCGTATCGGCCTCGCCGGCCCGCTTCCGCGGTGCAGGAGCCACCTCGAGCACCGACTCGCTAGATACGTTGAGCAACGGACCGGAGGGCTGCGTGGTGGCAGCAGCGGCAGCCCGCAGCGAGAAGGAGCAGCTGCAGGCGCTGAACGACCGTTTCGCCGGCTACATCGACAAGGTGCGGCAGCTCGAAGCACATAACCGCAGCCTGGAAGGCGAGGCGGCGGCGCTGCGGCAGCAGCAGGCGGGCCGCTCCGCCATGGGCGAGCTGTATGAGCGAGAGGTACGCGAGATGCGCGGTGCAGTGCTGCGCCTAGGCGCGGCGCGCGGCCAGCTGCGCCTGGAGCAGGAGCACCTGCTGGAAGACATCGCGCACGTGCGCCAGCGCCTAGACGACGAGGCCCGGCAGCGGGAGGAAGCTGAGGCGGCAGCGCGCGCACTCGCGCGCTTTGCGCAGGAGGCTGAGGCGGCACGCGTCGAGCTGCAGAAGAAAGCGCAAGCACTGCAGGAAGAGTGCGGCTACCTGCGGCGTCACCACCAGGAGGAGGTGGGCGAGCTGCTCGGCCAAATCCAGGGCTGCGGCGCCGCGCAGGCGCAGGCGCAGGCCGAGGCGCGCGACGCCCTTAAGTGCGACGTGACGTCGGCGCTGCGCGAAATCCGCGCGCAACTCGAAGGCCACGCGGTGCAGAGCACGCTTCAGTCGGAGGAGTGGTTCAGAGGTTTGTAGGCGCGCGGTGGTACGGGGGAGGGGGCGCCCCCTGGTGGCCTGGCAGGGTGGACTCCCAGGGTGAAGGCGGCAGGGCTGGAGGATGTACTGCTCAGCTTCTCCCTGCAAAGTGCATTCCCCTTAGTTAAACGACAGTTTCACTCTGGGTCTCTGGAGATAACCCCCTTCCCTTCCCTGCAGCTCTGGGTTCTCCTTTGGCTGCCCTCCTCCAGGGGCCTTATAGCTGTCCTGAAGCTCTGGATCCCCTCTGTCCCCCCGCCCAAGATTGGATAACCCCACTCTGAGGCCCCTTTCCATCAGGTTCCTAACACAGTTCCAAAGCAGTGACGGCTTCTAGTCACAGGCACTGAGGACTCTTTGCCCTTCAAAGTAACATGCCTTCGCTGCCCAACACTGCCCATCCCCCTTGCCTGCACCCTGCAGGGGACCCCATTCTCCAGACTCCTATTAGGCTGCTCCCCAGTGAGGGATCATCACCTCAGCGAATGGGTGTGTGAGGCTGAGGTGGCCCCTTAATGTCCTCTCTCCACTTGAGAAGCTGGGAGCCTCTTAAGTCCCCCCCTCCTCCCAACTCCATGATGCTCTGAGTCAGCTAGATTGCAGCAGCAGCAGCTCTGAAGCTGTGCCCAGCACCTGCAGGGTGACCTTGACTAACACTTGCCTCCTCTGGTTTTCATTTCTTTGGGGGTTAAAAGGGGAGGCGGTTGACAAGCTGAGCCTCTTACTCAGGGGAGCTATATGATCCTTCCTGAAACTCTGTATACAACTTTTGCATTTTTCTTGGGAGAGGGTGCAGAGGCTCCAGCGATTTTCAAACAGGTCTGTGATCCACAATGGGTAAGGGTCCTCACCCACTTTGATGGTTTCTAAGTCTTTGCCAACACTAGCAGGGAAAGCCAGGAAAGCTAGAACTTAGATGCATGGTTTTTCCCGTTACTTTTCCTCTCCTTTGCAGTGGCAGAACCTTCCCCTCCCCCATCTCTGCAGCAAGACACCTCCCAGAGCAAACCTCTCTGCTCTCTTGGGCTTTGGCCTTCACATAGACAAACCATCCCAGGACTTCTGGCCCATCCAACTGGCTTCCCTTCTCCCTGGCCCACCCTCCCGACTCAGGCCCTGGGTGTTACTATTTTGGGATGCAGGATATTCACTTTCAGGAGATGTAGATTAGTCTCCAGACCTCCACTGATCCTGAGAGATCTGGGAACCAGCAGCCCATTGCTCACAGGGACCAGGGTGTGGCTGTCCTTGGCACAGGGACTCCTGTGCTAGAGAATGCACAGCCAGGTGGGGGAAGGGACAGAGGAGATGGCGCATGGGCCCCAGGCTCTGCGGTGACCTTGGGTTCTACAGAGCCAAAAACCTGCAAGAAAGGGGCTATGGCTACATAGTAGCTCATAGCACCTTTATGCCTCCAAAGGTCACAGGCTCATTAACTTGTTCAGCCACATGCTCACAGTTAAGCCCTGTATGCCAAGTTTCACATTTAAACACTAGCACCGCCAGCCCTTGCTGGGGAGCTGAACTGGGTATTAGGACCAGAACTGGGGGCTTCTTCTGCCTTATGAGTTTTCAGATCCTGAATTGGGGGAGACAATCTAATCTTTGGAACCAGATAGACACTAGATTTGAATCTTAGCTCTGCTGCTTACTAGCTAAGTGGCCTTGGATATTAGTAATTTGCCTATCACAAAGGATAGGGTGGATTAAGAACCCAAGATGGCACCAGGCACCCAGTAGGTCCTCAACCCACCTGTGTCACCTTTTGGATCAGTAGAATCCAAATCCAGGTGTGTCTAACTCTGTTCCCTGTCTCCTTCTCCCCCAGTGAGGCTGGACAGACTCTCAGAGGCAGCCAAGGTGAACACAGATGCCATGCGCTCAGCACAGGAGGAGATAACTGAGTATCGGCGCCAGCTACAGGCCAGGACCACAGAGCTAGAGGCGCTCAAAGGCACCAAGGACTCATTAGAGAGGCAACGCTCTGAGCTGGAGGACCGTCATCAGGCCGATATCGCATCCTACCAGGTGGGCAGGGGTGGAGCAGAGACCAGACTACCTTACCTGGTTGGGTTATCCTGAACAAGTCATTGCCCCTCTCTCGGCAGGGTTGTGGTGGTGAAGACCATGGGCCTTGGAGTCAGTGAGACATATGAGGGGTACCACTGTGTCTTTCTAGCTGAGTGGCCCCAGGAAAGTTACCTGCTTTATCTGAGTCTGAATTCCTTGAATGCAATGAAGAAAAAAAAAATGCCCACTTTGCTCTGCAAAGGTTAAAGAGATGGGCAAACTTTTCATGAGCTGTGTGTGAGCCTGCTCAGCAGGGTCTTAGTCACAGTGCACATCTGGTAAATAATAACCAGTGTCTGGGAGTGAGCGTAGCCTGGGGAAGGCCTTGGCAGATTCCTTGCATTAAAGACAACTGGCAAAAGAAAATAACACTTTGAAAGAACATATTATGCAAGTATGGTGATTGTGGTGATTGTGGATTAATTAGAGAACGGAGAAAGCAGAAAGGAGGCAATAAAAATCAGCCATAATGTTTCACTTTAAGCAGGGCTAAGTGAGCCTTCATACTAGTGGAGAAGCTTCCACTGGTATTTAACCTGCTTCTGTGTGTTGCTTCAGTCATCAGCTGCGGGTGCTTCCTCAGCCCTATCTGGCAGGCACTTGGGAGCATTGGGAGCCAAAGCAGACAAGGCTGTGTTCCTGCTGAGCATTTTCTAAGCTTAAAAGATCTGTAAAACATCACCCATCATTCCTGGTGTGTTTCATTTGAGACCACTCCCCAGGTTGAGGTCATATATATACACGGCAGGATTTTTGCTTCAGCTGGTTTCCATGTCCATGAATGAGGCTGCCACAGCTTTGACAGCATGGCCCCAGTGAGACTGGCTAGATTGAACTACTTTGGGTTTGCACAGTCTGCCCCAGCTTCTCTGGTGCTGAAGGCCAGGCACTGGCTGGTGCGTGACATGTGTGTGTGTGACCTCTCCTCCCCAGGAAGCCATCCAGCAGCTGGACACCGAGCTGAGGAACACCAAGTGGGAAATGGCAGCCCAGCTCCGAGAGTACCAGGACCTGCTCAATGTCAAGATGGCTCTGGATATTGAGATCGCTGCTTACAGGTGATGTGGGCCAGGGGCCTTTGGGATGGTGGGGAGCCCTTGCGTTCTTATGAGAGGCGAAGCACTGAGTTTCAAGTTCCCAGCAAGATGGCCTGCCTGTCTTAGAGAGCAAAAAGAATTTTTTTTATTGTGGTAAAATGTGTATAACACAAAATTTGCTATTTAACCATTTTTAAGTGTACATTTCAGTGGCATTAAGTACACTTACATTGTTGTGCAACAGTCACCACCATCTATCTCTAGAACTTTTTTCATCTTCCCAAACTGAAACTCTGTGCTTGATAATGAATAACTCCCCACTGCCCTTTCCTCACTTCCTCTGGCCCTGGCAACCATCATCCTGATTTCTGAGAGAAATAAGTCTTGAGAGTGGCTTATTTTCATTCTGACAGTGATTTAGAGGATTAATGTTCCTCATCCCTCCCCAAATCAAGCTGACTAGAGGTCTGCTTTGGAGGGAAGGGAGATACTTCAGTTGTCAGGGGCCTTTACAATTCTCTTAGTGTTTTTTAGCTCCCTGAGCTTTGGTTTTCCGGGGAAATAAAATGGGGATGATAATAACAGTACTCTTGTTGGGTTGTCAGGAGGAGGTGCTAATCCAGTTCCTGAGCGGATCTCAGTACCGCTGGGTTGTCACAGAGCAAGCCCTCAGGAAATGGTAGCCAGGAGAAGGTCATGAGACCTCCCAATTTAGCAATCTCTTGCTAAAGAGCAGGCTGACCCCCTGAAGACCTGTCCCAGTTGCTGGCTGGTGACCCTTTACTTCTCACCTCTTGGGTCTAGTTTGTAATCTTGGTGCTCAGAGTGTGGTCCATGAACCAGCACAATTGGCATCTTCCACAAGCATGTTAGAAAGTCAGACTCTCGGGGCGCCTGGGTGGTGCAGTCGGTTGAGCGTCCGACTTCAGCCAGGTCACGATCTCGCGGTCCGTGAGTTCGAGCCCCGCGTCAGGCTCTGGGCTGATGGCTCAGAGCCTGGAGCCGGTTTCCGATTCTGTGTCTCCCTCTCTCTCTGCCCCTCCCCCGTTCATGCTCTGTCTCTCTCTATCCCAAAAATAAATAAACGTTGAAAAAAAAAATTAAAAAAAAAAAAAAGAAAGTCAGACTCTCAGGTCCCACCCCAGATTTACTGAATCAGAATCTGCATTTTAACTAGATCGCTGGGGGATGTGTATGCTGTTAAATTTGCAAAGCACTGGGCTCTAGGGGTAACCCCTACACCTACTGTGAGGCAGGTACTGCCAGGTTCTTTTTATTCATTATCTCACTGAAACAATCCTCTGAGGTAGGGACTCTTAGTGACCCTCTTTTTGCCAATGAAGAAACTTGAGGCTTAAAGTGTTTGAGTGGCTTGGCTGAGGTCACATATCTACTGAGTAGGAAAGGGTAGAAACTGCTGCCCCCTCCCTATTCCTAAAACTCAAAGAATGAGAATATAAGGTGAAAAGAGACCCTTAACATTTCAATGGGTATATTCTGAGACCTCTTAATCACAAATTTATAAATGTGGAATTGTTTGCTCAGGCTCCCATCTTCCTCTTAAATGTTTTAGTTGAGGGACAATTAATGTAATTTTTGTTAATGCAGGTGCTCTCTCTTGAGGACCATGTTTTTGTGCATGTTAGGGGAGGTTGTTTTATAAGTTTCATACTTAGCTGCATAAAACCCCAGTGCCATTGGGGTGCAGATTCTGGGTAGTTCCTGGGATGATTTGCCAAGTGACTTTTTCTGGTCTCAAAGTGCCCACTATTCACATTCCTTCCTCCACCAAAGTCCATACCGTTGGATTCTATGGGCCTTCAGAGTAACTCAAGAAGACCCCCAATCCATCGATCTGTTCTGAGTTAATAATAATAATGTGTTCCATTATCCATTCTGCAGAAAACTCCTGGAGGGCGAAGAGTGTCGGATTGGCTTTGGCCCCAGTCCTTTCTCCCTTCCAGAAGCACTCCCCAAAATTCCCTCTGCAGCCACTCACATAAAGGTCAAAAGTGAAGAGAAGATCAAGGTGGTAGAAAAGTCAGAGAAGGAAACTGTGATTTTGGAGGAACAGACAGAGGAGATCCAAGTGACTGAAGAAGTGACTGAAGAAGAAGAGAAAGAGGCCAAAGAGGAGAAGGGTGAGGAGGAGGAAGCAGAAGGAGGAGAAGAAGAAACAAAATCTCCCTCAGCAGAAGAGGCTGCATCTCCAGAGAAGGAGGAGGCCAAGTCACCAGTTGGAGCCAAGTCCCCGGTGAAGGAAGAAGCTAAGTCCCCAGCCGAGGCCAAGTCCCCAGTGAAGGAAGAGGCTAAGTCACCAGAAAAGGCTAAGTCACCCATGAAAGAAGAAGCAAAATCACCAGCTGAGGCCAAGTCCCCTGTGAAGGAAGAGGCCAAGTCTCCAGCTGAGGTGAAGTCCCCTGAGAAAGCTAAATCCCCTGTGAAAGAAGAAGCAAAATCACCAACTGAGGTGAAGTCTCCAGAGAAGACCAAGTCCCCTGTGAAGGAAGAAGCAAAGTCCCCAGTGGAGGCCAAGTCCCCAGAGAAGGCCAAGTCCCCTGTGAAGGAAGA